GCACCTAGGTTTTTGGCTTTCAATTTAATTAACAAGATAGGTAATGTTGACTTTTGCTAATATGGGTAAGATTGGTAAGGGCCAGAGTTTTGGCGAGGAAGGAATTAAAAGGTCTCTTTTGGGGAGGGGGGAGGTTGATGGGGTAAAAGGGCTCAAATACATGGTGACAGAAAGAAATCTAACTGGGGGGTGAATACACAATGCAATATAAATATGATTTACTGTTGAACTGTACACTTGAAACTTATTGGATTTCATTAACCAATGTCACCATAATAGAAACAAATGTCTGTCTGTCTGTTTCTTTTGGACATATTAAATTCAAAATGCCCCAGAAGACATCCAAGTAGATGTCTGGAACATAGGCTGTCTGTGTAATTGTCCAAACCAGTTGTGGCAGACAGAAAAATGACCTCCCGAAGGGTGTTCACATCCTAATCCCTAGGACCTATGAACATTTACCTTACGTTGCAAAAGGGACTTTGCAAATGTAATTAAGGTGAAGGATATTGAGATGGGAGAGATTATCCTGGTTTACCTAGGCAGGCTCATCTAATCACATGAGTCCTTAAAAGTGGAAGAGGGAGGTAGAAGAGTTGGTCAGAGAGACTCAGGACAGAACAAGAAGCAGAAGAAATGGGGCATGAGAAGAGTATGACTCACTGTTGCTGGCTTTGAAGAAAAAACTGCCCAGGAGCCAAGAAATGAGGATGGCCTCTAGAAGCTGAGAATAACCCTGAGTTGACTGCCGGTAAGGAAATGGGGACTTCAGTCTTACAACCACAAGAAACTGAACTCAGCCAACAACCTGAATGAGCCAAGAAATAGACTTTTCCTGACAGACTCCAGAAAGGGTTGCAGTCCAGTCAGATTTTAGTCCAGTGAAACTTACATCAGACTTCTGATCTCCATAACTGTAAGATAATAAATCTGTGTTGCTTAAGCCACTGAGTTCGCAGTAATTTGTTATAACAGCGATAGAAAACTAATGGATCAGAACAGTATTAATAATAATGTCAGGATAATAAGCATAAACCAGAACTGTCCTGGGTAAACTGGGACAAGTCTGGAGTTCAGTAGAACGTGGTGGCTGGAGACAGAAATTTGGGCATTTAAAGCAATAGACTGAATAAGACCGCCAAAGTAGTGGATGGGAAGAAACTCCTAGGGCAGGGGGAAGCAACAAAAATGACATTGAGGAGACAGTGGCTAAAGAAAGGCCTCAATATGTGGAAGAACTAGAACTTTTATCCTGCTGTTGGGGATGTAAAATGGTACAATCATTTTATAGTCTGGCAATTCCTCAAATGGCTCTACATGGAGATCCCATATGACCCAGCAATTCCACTCCTAGGTATATACGCCAGATAAATGAAAACATATGTCCACATCAAAATTTGTACAGGCATGTTTATAGCAGCATCATTCATAATAGGCAAAAAGTGGAAATGACCCAAATGTGATATATCCATATGATGGAACTACTTAGCAATTGAAAGGAATTGACTACTGATACACAAAAAAGCATGGATGAAATCTAAAAAATATATATGTATATCAAGTGAAAGAAGCCGCAACCCCCTCCCCCAAAAAGGTACATGCTTTATGATTCCATTTATATGAAATTCTAGGAAATACAAACTAATCTACAGTGACGGAAAGCAGATCAGTGATTGCTTGGAGAGAGAGGGAGGGATTACAATGGGGAGCAAGAAAATTTAGGGTGGTGATTGATACATTCGCTATCTTAACTGTGATAATTTTATAGGCATATACATATGTAAAAAAAACTTACCAATTCTATCCTTTAAATATGTACAAATTTATTGTGTGATAATTATACCTCAATTTTAAACAGTTACCTCAGGGCTGGAATCTATCAAATGCTTTCTAAGCCTGCTGCAGAGAGGCCAGAATTGAAAGAGAAAAGAGCTTTAAATGCTAAGCAAGGAGGAATCACTGGTTTCTTGAGCAAGATTGTTCCAGAAACTGAAGTGAGAGACTAGAGACTTGAGCAAGACTGGCCTACAAACAATGAGCCTTGTTTTCTCCTCAGTAATTACACTGCAAACACAAGTGTGATGTGATGGTCTTCCATTTCACAAATGCAAGCCAGGTCTGAAAACTTAGGGTGCTTGATCTGGGCACCTCTTAGAGACTCTAATCGTGCTTATATGGCCTCTGATATGGTTACCAGATTATAGGTAAGGCCTTTACCAGGGACAGAGAACTGGTTTACCACTTAAGCAGGGGTGGAGCGATTGGTCATTAAAACTCAGAATTGGGCAACCTAAGTTGGTATTTTTCTTAGTATTAATAAAATCTAGCATGTATTAAATGCTTGCTACGTACCAGCTCTGTGCATATAGGTAATATATGCACAGAGCTGGTACGTAGCAAGCATTTAACAAGCGTGTGCGTGTGTGTGCGTGTGTGTGTGTGTAATCTTCCTAAAGTACTTCAAGCTATAGG